AAGAAATTGGTCTGATTTATAGTGTTAAAAGTCTACTGTGCTGCTGTGTGAAGAATCCATGGAAGAGGGGCGAGATTGGAAGGAAGGAAGAGGTCGGTTAAGAGGCTTTTGTGAGAAAACGGTGGCTTGGACTGCTGTTAGGGAAGGGAGGGCCACGCTGTGGCTCTGTCTTGAAGACAGGGCTGGCAGGATTCATGGAGGCTGGATGCAGGATCTAAGAGAATGATTCAGGGTGGCTCTTCAAGATATAATGAGGCTCTTGAAGATAAATAATTTGGTGAATAGTCACGTAGCCCATGAGATGGGAATGAGTTGGGTAGGAATAGAGTCAATTCTGGAGGGCAGTCCAGTTCTTGGCAGGGTGATTTTTAGATTCCTAGAAGACATCCACATCAATGTAATAGCTAGGGAATGGAGATGAGTATTTGAGAGTCATCAGCAAATGGATGGAATGGAAAGCCACACGGTGTGCTGAGCTCTTCTTGAGAAATAGCAGAGGTAGAAAGGAGTGGAGACTAAAGACCTAGCCTGGGAGTTCTGCCCCCTCTCAGGGTCAAGCAAAGGTGGAGAGGTCAGCAGAGAAAACCAAGATGGAGCAGCGAGCCACATGGGAAGCTAGCCAGGGAAGTATGGCTCCCAAGTGCGGAATACGGACTCTTGCCAAAGGAAGTGGCTGTGCCTAATACTTTTGGGAGGCTGGGTAGTGTGAGGATGGGCAAGTGGCCATCAGGATGGAGGGTCCCCTGTGATGCACTGAGAGCATCTGCTGTGGGTTGGAGGGAATGGAAGCCTGGCCGCAATGGGTGGAGAAGAGCCTGGGGTCCTGGAAGTGACAGTCAGCATGGGCCATCCCACAGTGTGATCAAGGGGCCAGTTGCAGCAGAGCAGGGGGCTGACTGTGGTTTCTGTTTGTTTTCTTTGCCAGGTGGGAAGTAACAGAGCATGTCAGCATTCAGGCCATGTAGTCTAGACTCCTAGTGCAGGACAGCAAGGGGATCTTTACAGAAACAAAGTCATTCGGAACTTTGTGTCCATGTGTGTGTGTGTGTTCATGTGTCTGTGTGTGCACGTGCGTGTGTTTCTTCAACCTCTGCGCTCCTTGGGCCCTAAAGTGGTCACGTTACATTTTTAGTTTTCTTACTTCCTATCAT